CTAATGGAACCTTATTGTAAAGTGTTACCAAAAAAAATACTTAGCTGAAACTTTTAAATGGTAGTGTGTGTATTCCACAAGAGGGCGTTAAAGGGCAAGACTTGCTCATGACATTCCATTAACAATATTTATGAATAATTTATTTTGAATATTATAATTCATTATTATTAGTTAAGACCATTTATAATAGACTAAAGTAAACCATCCAAAGAGTTTGTCCTAAAGCTTAATTTGGTACTTTTTCAGGTGTGTGGACATGGTGAAGGGTTCACAATACGTGGAGCTTGCAAATGACTTGGAGATCAATAAAGCTATTACATATTTAAGACAGAGGGACTTCAGACAGGTAGATGGGTCCCTGGAGACACACTCAAATTATGTTGCATTTGATATTTTACCACAGAACAGAGCCATATTGCTCTATGTCTGTGTGGAACCCTTGTTTATGTCTTATAACACTTTACACTTTCAATGGTCCATTTTATTTTGTTTTCTTGCCTGTCCATCTGCATGACTATTGAGGCTGAGGTATGTTTGTGTTGTTGGAGAACTTGTGTGTGTCTTTCTGCTGTAGGCCTTGTGTATATGTGTGCTGATATTGTGTTGTGTTGTATTGCTTCTGTCATTTCATGTAGCAGCAAATGTAATGTGATGTAACTCAAGTGTATTTAGGTATTATTCACATAAATAATCTACTTATGTCAATAATTTCCTTGAAGTCGCTATGAATATGCTTAATCAACAGTGTTTTATTTTGTTTCCAGGCAGTCGAGACGCTAAAGATGTTTGAGAAGAAGGACAGTCGGGTAAAAAGTGCTGCTGCCACTAATCTTTCTTTTCTTTACTTTTTGGTGAGTACATCACTATAAAGCATTGACCTAAAAAAACTGGTCATTGGTGTATTTATCACAGTGTGTTATAAGGTTCTCACAGACGTGCTTTTGTTTTGTTGCTTGCATCTGCCTATTTATGTGTCTTCTCCAGGAAAAGGATTATGACCAGGCTGACCGCTATGCTGAACTTGCCATGAGTGCCGACCGCTACAACCCTGCTGCCCTCGTTAACAAAGGCAAC